CGGAGGCGTTTAACCAGAGCCCACACTCTTAACTAGGACTTGATTCTGCCTCGCCACCAAGCCTAACTCTGGTGTCAAGTACTCACCGCACTGCGGTTAAGAAATCAGACGCAAGGCCCACCCTGAGGGCCCAAGCTCACACGCATCGCCCCTGGCTTGGCCTGGGAGTCCTTTCCCGCGCAGGTCCGCGCTGCCAAGGATGAAACTGAATTTGATGCAAGCAAGACAGGGTTGAGGAAGGCCAGAGAATGGAGAAGGGGAGCTCATGTTCTAAAAGCCCCTCCCCTCCGAAAGGAGGCGAGTAACGGGGTTTTAAGGGTTAGGAGGCAGACGGTCATCCGGGCTCTAGAAGGGGGAGGAGACTTTCTGGAGCCGCCGGGCATGCGCAGTCTACGCTCCTTTGCCCAGGGCCCAAATTGCGCCTAGCAGGGTGCAGTCCGCCCCGCCCCCCACCTGGGGCAGAGATCTTAGCGTGGTAATGAGGCCAACGTAACTGTGGGACACCATCGCGTCTCATCTACGGAGGCATGTTCCTGTGGTCAAGATAGAGGCGATTCTGAGCCGTTGACCACTGTCTATCTCTTAAAGCACAGCTGCAAATACTAAGTGCCTTTGAAACAAACACAGTATAAATCTGGGCCAGTGTCCTTCAGCTCTCAAGGGCTGGTAGGGAAACACAGAGATAAATCAAGGCAAGGAAAGCCAGCCACCGTGAATCTAGCCGGTTCAGTCTGGTTTTGTTGAGGGCCTCTGTGGCATCCCTGTTGATAAAACACAACTAGCCTGATGGTTAAAAAAAACAGCCTCTGCACCTAGGACCTGGGCTACAGAGCGTGGGTGACAATACGACTTCTAGTCAAATGGCCAAACCTCTCAGAACCTCTATTTTTATGTCCGTAAAAAGGGCAGAACCACAACACCGCCCACTATGGGATCCTTACCAGGGCTGGCTTGACAAGTCCATGGGAAGCTGCTGCTTTTGAAGCTGTAGAAGTAAACAAAGAACAACAAAGTGTATCAATTCAAAACATGCTGTAGCAGGGGAGTCAGCCGTTACTTCTTGCAGAGACTCAAAGGCACGCAGAAGGGTGAGAAAGCTTTAGAATGGAAAACAGGGAAGGCGTCAGGTGTGTCCTTGTTGGAGGCAGAGAAAAAGCTAAAAGCAGGCTAATTAGAAGCAGGATATCCTAGGTGATCAGGGTGCGTGTTTAGCTTTCTCTGGTTGGTCCTAAGTTAGAAGCAGGGACAGAAATTAGAGAGGCTGTTAGTTTTTAATCAAGTCTTGGCTATTTGGAGCTGATTATTACAGAAGTTATTGTAATGCAGTTATTCCTGCATTGTCACTAGAGACGGCAATCTGGCTTCCTGTGAGTCTGACTTAAAGCATGCTGGCTTCCTGGGCTGTTTATAAGAGGGCTGTTTTTGTAGGCAGCTTGCTGCAACTTGTGAGTCAGAATCCTGTTTTTAGAGATGATCTGGCCACTGTCCATTTGTATACTGGTCTTTCGAAGTGATTTATTTATTCACTTATTTATTTTTATTGAAGTAGAGTTGATTTACAATATTGTGTTAGTTTCAGGTATACAACAAAGTGATTCAGTTGTATATACATACATACATATGTATATTCTTTTCAGATTCTTTCCAATTATAGGTTATTAAAAGATACTGAATATAGTTCCCTGTGCTATACAGTAAGTCCTTGTTGTTTATTTTATATATAGCAGTCCAAAACACTTTTAGATGTGATTTTACCTAGTCAAAGACCAACATGGATAAATTTGCTCCAAAGAAAAAGGCCCAGATGATTCTTTGCTCATAAAACTTGAGTGCACATGGTCCCAGAGGCTGATGAAAAGGAAAGCCAAAAGAAAACTCAGTCTTAGAAGAAGAAACAGAATGCAGAGCTCTGTCCTAGTTACTTCTTGCTGTGGAACAAACTCAGTGGTATAGAACAACAATCATTTCAAGACGCTGAGCTTGGCTCAAATGCTGGAAGCTAGAATCACCTAGATGTGACTTCACTCACATGTCTGGCAGCTCGCGCTGGCTGTCAGCTGAGACCTCAGCTGGGGCTGTCAACCAGATTATCGTGACATATTCTCACCAACGTGACTGCTTGGGCTTCCTCACAACGTGGTGGCTGGGTTCAGGGTTTATGGAGGAGAGCATGTGGAGAGCAAATGTTCCAAAAGACCAATGCAGAAACCCTATAGCTTCTTCCTTGGAAGTCATACACTGTCGCTGACACTGCATTCTTTCAACTACAAGTGAATCACTAAGGTTGGCCCAGATGCGAGAGAGGGAGGTTAGACCTTCTGCTGGATAGCAGGATGGTGAAGTCATATCACAGAAGAGCATACGATTGCAATCAACATTGGAAAATACAGTGATTCACAGATGCCCTCTTTACAAGCTCACTGTCTATAATAAAAGCCAGGAAATGTAACAAACTGCAAAAATCATGTGAATCAGGAAAGGTTTCTGCTCCAGCAACAGAAACTGCTTCTGGCTGATTAAAGCAGAAAGGGAACAAATTAAAGGAATCTGAGCAGCTCAAAGAGTCTCCAGGATGGCAGGGAGCCAGGTTTAGGAGGTGCTGTATGTTGAATTAAGTCCCCTCAAAAAGATATGTTGAGTCCTAGCCCCCAGTACCTCAGAATGGGCCCTTATTTGGAAATAGCGTTTTTATAGAGGTAATCACGTTAAAATAAGGTCACCAGGTTTGAACACGGCATTGTGCTTCAGTCAATACAGTGTTAAGGCATGTGTGAATGAGCTGTGCTCTGCATGACACTGCAAAGGAGGCTGGAAAACGTCTTAATTAGGGGCAGGTTTCTGCCCAGCGAAAGCTCAGGGTTTTCTTTCCAAGGAAGGAGACGGATACCGCCTTTGTGGTAGCAAAATGACTCCAGTCTTCACGTTCACAGGCCTCACAACTCCTCTTGGCTGCTTCCAGAACAAGGGCTCTCTTCTTCCATAACACTGAACCACAGTCCTTCACTTCACTCTGATTGGACCAATCTGAACCAATCACTAAGGCCAAAGGAATGCAGAGCTCTGATTGGCTTAGGTCTGGATAGCCGCCATCTCTGATCCAATCACTGTGACAAGGGGTGGGGCTATACAGATTGCAATAGGCTAATAAGAGCCCCACCCAGAACTGGAGGTGGGCTCAATCGCGCAGAGCAGGTAGGTACTGAGGAGACGCCCACGTGCCCACTCTGGCAACACTAATCAACTAATTGCATAATTAAGTAATCCATAAAGGAGAATTGTATCAGAAGTCTCCTTGGCCCAGGGTTGTCAGAGAAGGCTTCCAGAAGGAACTAGGCACAGAAGAACGAGCAGGAGCTATACATAGCGTGGGGAGAAAAGCAAGCTAGGCAGAGCGAACAACATGGGGAAAGGCCAGGCAACCCTGAGAGTAAGGGAGTGAGACGTGGGTGATGGGGATGGGTGGGTATACGGGGCAGCATGGGCCAGAACACGCAGATTTGGGGAGAAGAGGCTCCACATGTTGCAGGAAGACTGGGCAACAAGGGAGAGGGAGTAGACAGAGACTAGGAGGCTCCCTGAGTTAGCTGACACAGCCCTGCCCCTCCTCCTAAGCTGCTCACAGAAGCCACTGAATTTCCACTTGCTGTTGTGGGGATTCAATTAAGTAGAAGCTGCCGAAGTTGCTAGTATAGTATCTGGAAGAGGGACAACCTTCCATTCTCCACCCAAATGCAACCCGTCTGGGCCTTGGTTTGCACATCTGCAGAATGAGCCTAATTTAACCACCTCCCTGGGCTGTGGGGACAACTTTGAATATGCCCACGTACCAGATAAGTCTGGATATAAGCTCTGCCCTTCCTCCTAGTGACAAGATTAAATTTCAAAATGGGTTTTGGATACTTTGAACATATAAACGTTTAGGGAGATGGATGAAATAGGTAAAGGTTGACTTAAAATACTCATTACTATGATTAGAGAGATACAAATCTCTCTCTCTCTCTCTCTCTCTCTCTCTCTCTAATGAAGACTCTAGTCCATTTGGAGATAACAGTCTTTACTGCACTCTCTGCTCTGAAATAGCTCATTCCCACTCTTCAAGGGCTCTCAGGACACAGGCACACACAGCAGTCATTAGGAGCTCTCATGGCCTGGGTGTGATCCCAGCACTGCCCTTACCGAGCCCTCGGGAAGGTTAGTTCATTGCTCTGTGCCTCAGTTTCCTCTTCTGTAAAATGGCACCAAGTCTACTTTGTTTGGATAATAGAGAGAACTCTGTGTGTGCTTGTATGTACATGGGTGTGTGTGTTGTAAACTCATCCAGTTGTCACAACAACCTTGTGAGGAAGTCAGGTATTTTTATTATCCCCATTTCACAGATGAGAAGAGGCACAGAGAGGTTGAGTAATTTGCCCAAGATCACACAGCCTGTAGGCAGCAGGGACTTAAACCCCAGCATTTCAAACTCAGAGTCTACAAGCTTAGCTGCCAAGGACTAGGATATAACAAGCATCCAGCTTGAGATTAAAGGCTAGAGGTCCTCGTGGTGGGGGCCAGAAGTCAGGTAGGCTTGGCCCCAAATCTGGCACATCGATGAATTAAGTCCCCTATGTCCCCCACAAAACACAGTCCAGAACCCCATCCTTTTCCTGGAGAGATGGAGATCTCATCGACTGAGGCAAAAAAAAAGCAGGTTGGTAGGGTGAGGGAGTGTGTCAGGAGGTAGGTTTTGGATGGGCTGAGGATGATAGAAAATCCTAGGGAAGCAGAGGTTTTGAGGTGAGGAAAGCCGAGGTGTTCCAGCTGGGACATGTTGAGTTTCACGTGCGGTGGAATCAGACAGTTGGCTAACTCAGATCTGAAAAGCAGGAGAAAGCTCTGGGCTGGGAAGATGAGATTGCACATCAGTGCTCTGTGAACAGTCACTGATACAGCGGGGAGGGTGGCAGGGAGGCCCTCCCAAGACATCACACAGTCCTCTCTCTCTCTCTCTCATCCCTCAGAAAAGCATAAGGAGCTGCCCATTACAAACCTGCCAGTGAGTGCTGGGATCGTGGCCGCCATCATCATTGTCTCTCTGGCCATCGGGTCTCTCTGCGTTGGCAGCATTGCCTATCTCCTGGTGACAAGAGGCTGGAGAGCCCAGAGCCACAGGTACAGGAACCCCAGGCCTCTCTCTCCTTCCCTTCTGCCTCCCTCCCCCGCAAATCCCATTGATTCTTCTTCCACAAATCACATCATCCAACTCATCAAATCTCATCAAATCTCAGAACCACTATGGGGAACAGGATCTTCCTGTCCTGTATTAGACGGAATTTTGGATTGCAAGTGACAGAGACCCTACCTTTAAACTGGCTTATCAAAAAATAGAAAATGTTTTGTCCTATATAACATAAGCTTCAGGTATGGCTGGCTCAGGGGCTCAATTCTGTCCAGAACCTCCTTCATACACCTCTCAAGGGACCCAAGAGGCCAGGGGTCTTTGTCAGTTTTGTTCCCAGCTGTGTTCCTAAGGCCTTCAACAGTGCCCAGCCCATGGTCAGTGTGCAGCAAATTAACAAATTTGCAGTAATGAGGTCAAGTATACCTTTTAAGTAAGGGTATTCAAACGAGCCAATCTTAAGAAGAATACTAAGGAAATCATGAAACAGGTAGATGGAGCAGGATGTTTACGTGGTCTGTGTAAACCGGGACATTAGGGAAGCGTTGCTTGTTGGCAGAAGGTGGCAGCCAGGGAAACTTGAGGATGGACTGTGTGGCTGGGGATTATGGGAGAAGAGGGTAGGGTGGGGGCAGGTCTTGCCCTGGCTCATTGTAAAGCAAGGACCATCTCTCTCTCTGGGGCCTGATGGGCTTTCCAGCTTCTCTGAATCTCTCCCCACCCACCTGAGCATCTTTCTATCCTAATGTCATTCCCTCCATATGTCCCCAGGATGACGGCCGCAGAGAAACCGGAAGTGGGTTCCCATCATCACGCTGGTAAGACAGAGGTCCTGGTCTCGCTACCTGGCTCTCCTCACAGCCCCCTCCCTTTCATGCACCAACCCAAAACCCCCTTGTGGTCCCCAACTTGGGGCCTCCAATCATTTGCCCCACCAAGCCCTCGCTGGGACTCCCCCAGACTCAGCCCACAGATTCTGAGCGCATGAGTGCTCACCCCAAACCTGCTTTTCCTCTTCTTCTCAGTGCCCAGCACTCCCAACCCCAGTCACCGCCACACTCACCGAGCCACACCAGTGGCTCCTGTCTACCAACAGGTCACAACTCAACCCAAGCTCCATCTCCCGGATCCCCACACTCAACTCCTCGCTTTCCTCCCAAACTCCAGGCTGACCTCCACCCTATTGCTGGGCAAGGTCCTTTTAGAACTCTGACCCTGTCCCTCCTCTGCTCAGACACCCTCTATGGCTCCCCAGTACCCTTAGGACAAAGTTCAGGCTCCTTAATGTGGCTCTTCAGACCCTGCATAAACTGGTCGCCACTGTCTTCCCTGGCTTCATCTGTCCTATGTAATGTTTCTATCCTTAAAACAAATTGGTACAAAGAAATATATATACCAAATCCAGACAGAACATAGTTCCTTAAATACAGCCAGCTCTCTCACTGCTAGGCCTCTGTATGCACGCTCTCGTGCCTTTAAATAACTCTCACTTCTCTTTCCAGTCTCAGATGTCCCCACATCCAGGAAGCCCTCCTGGTCTCCTCTCCAGGAGTCCTATGGGCTCATCCCACTCCAGCCCTGCCCATTCTGGATCATCCCTGTCTGGGGATGGGTCTGTCTCCCCCACTGGACTGAGGACAAGGCCAGCACTGCCTCAGTCACTGCTGTGTCCCCAGCATAAGGCCAGGCAAGAAAAGGGCTTAACACAAATGGTAGTTGAATGAGTAAATAAATGGCAGCAGCAGCTAGCGTGGACCTGAGGGCCACCTGTCAGCCGTTGCTCCCCTTGTCTTCTGCTCCAGGTGACAACAACATCTATGAAGCGATGCCAACTCCGGTTCTCCTGGTGTCCCCTCTCAGTGACACGAGGCCCACGAATGCCACCATGGTGAGCCCCCACCCCTGTCCCCTAAATAGCCTACTTCCGACCTGGTGCCTCCCCTTCAAGTTGGCTGCAGTGCCCTGCGGTGCTTCACACACATTTTGGGAACTGCTTCTCTCTCTCTTTCTCTCTCTCTATGTCTGTCTGTCTGTTTGTCTGTCTCTCTCGGCTGCTCCCCATTTTAAAAATCATAAGCAAAAGAGACTGGAAGGAAACAGCATGACATAAACAGCATGTGTCTTTGGGCGCGTAGGCTGGTGGGTGGATTTTATTTTCCCCCTGTAAGTGTCCATATTTGCCACACTGAGCAAATATTCCCTTTACAATC